GCCGGGCCACTGGCCCCTTCTCCGCATCAGCAGTCGGCCGTCCCGCGTCCTCTTCAGTCGTGCGATCACCGAGGAGCGCTCTTAATTTCCTCCGGGAACTTCTCTGCGTTCGCCGCGTGGCTGCTGGCGCGCGAGGCCCCGCTGCCGGCCTGTCTCGGCTTCCCGCGGCCATGCTGAGCGTGGCCACCCTGGCTTTTGAGTCCAGGTGAGAGACGGCGACTCTTCCTGTCACTCCAACACCTGGAGGCTGCCGCAGTGTTATTCTCTGGCCTGATTTCAGCACTGTCATTGTCCCAGGCACCAGGGAGGACCCAGGAGAGGAGAGACGGGGAACAGCCAGCAGGTGGAGCAGTCAGAACACACACAGCATTTATTAACTTCGCTGTTATATGGGCAAGGTTTGCGGTGCCTCAAAATAATTACAACACTGATATCATAGATCACTGATCACAGATCAACGTAACAAGTATGTTAATAATGAAAAAATTTAATATACTGCAATAATTACCAAAACATACACAAAAAGGGGAAATGAGCAAATGCTGTTGGAAAAATGGCACCAACAGATCCGGTTGATGCAGGGTTGCCACGAATCTTTAATTTGTAAAAAACACAGTATCTGTGAAACGTAATAAGGCAAAGTATGCCTGTATATAAAAACAGAAATTAAACAAAACCTTCAATTAATCTAATACTTTCTTTCTCATTGTGATACATAACAGACTTTGTATCAAGTTAGTCATCTTTCTAAATGTTCTAGCTCTTCTATTAACTCGTGCTTTATTAGGCATGACCAAAAAGCAACATTTTGATTTTGCAACAGATACAAATGTATACATCCAAATGACTGCTGTCCCTTCCTTTCAGACAGTAGCCCTGGATATGTACACCTTAATAACTGTGCTATTTTATGGTTCAAGGAAGTTTTGAAACTCCTAGCTGGGATCCACCTTCAGAGTTTTAAAATCCTATTTTAATCTAGACAAAATCTTACATCAACGGGTATGATTTGCGCAATTTGGAAACTGACTTAAATGAGTTTCAAGAATATCTGAGAGCCATCAATTGTAGTGGCACCAAAAAGCACAACTGGAAAAAGCAGTTTTCCAAGAAGAGGATATTATGTAAATATCTAGTTTATATGCTAAACAAACACTTGCTCTTTTTTTGTTTTAACTTTAAAACCCTCCATTTTTCTCAGCCTCCTCAATCAATCTTCTGAGTCCTTTCTGTAATGTTGCTGGTTCAGTTCTGCTCATCTTGAAAGAATATGGGGCCTCCTCACCCTTTCCCCAACCTCCACTTGTGAAACCTACATTTAAAACCACTGGTCTGGGGAATGATCACACCACTAACATGTCGATGTGTTGCTCTGCAGTTTACACGAGGCTTTCATGAGTATTATTGTATTGTATTCCTTCTTTCGCCGGTGAGGACAGTAACACTATCCCCTTATATGAATGAGTGCCTGAGATTCGAAAAGGGTGAACAAGTTAGTTATCCAACAAGTTAGTCACAAGGATGTTAAATAGCAATAGGGGACCTGAATTAGGTTTTACGACAGATTTTACTCTTCCC